GGGTTTTGGCGGTTTGCATCCTGGGCGTGGACATGGCACCGCTCATTGGGCCATCCTGAGGCGGCATCCCACATAGGACAACCAGAGGCACTCACAACTAGTTATCTACAACTATGTACTGGGGGGCTTTCGGGAGAAAAAGAAGACGAAAAAAAGTTTGGCAACAGACGTTAGCTCAGGTGCCCATCTTTAAAAAGAAAAACAAAACCTTGAGCTTTCAAGCAAAAATCAGAATTTTGGCAAACTTGATCTGCCGCTATTACTTTAACAGCTTCTCAAGACTTAAAGACTTTTCTGATGACACTGGTAGTGACGTTAACAAACGTGACTTTTTGACATTGGATAATGACATACGTCAATACTGGAAAGATCCACGTCATTCAGTGAGCCAGGATTTTCCGGGGGATCAACGTTAGATGTTAAAAAAATCATGTGTGAGCACAATTCCATTCAAAGCCCCAGTGAGACCAATGGCTTTGTCCGCCCTAACAGAGCTCACAGCGTCACGAGATAAAGTTTCAGATTCCACACTGCAGCAAACATCTAAGAAACTACCATTTGCTGAGTTTTGTATGGCACCAAAGAAAAGCACCCACGATTATCTAATAAGGCAATTACCACACTCCTCTCTTGTCCAACTACATACATGAGTGACGCCAGAATCACAAATCACAAAAACCAGAATAGCAAATCACAGCGGCCAGACTGAATCTCAGGGCAGGTGCGAGGACGCAGCAGTCTTCTACGGAGTCAGACGTTAAACAGGCTTTGCAAAAATGTAAAATGATGCTCCTCTTCTCACTCAGACCTTCTTGTTTGGAAAAATACAGTTGTCTTTCATTAAAAAATAATTTTGTTTATGGCAACAGGAAATGGGTTTATTACTGTTATTTGACAAGAAATTATTGAAGATTTAGACCTGTTTTCAGTTTTAATTGCTAAAACAGTAAATACCAGTAGATCTAAACCATGTAAACAAAAGCTCTTTGGCATCCTCAATTTTGGAAATGGAAACTGGTCTGGAGACCAGAAAGTGTGAGAAATGCTGTCCTAAGAAAAGAAACAGATTCACACACACGAATCTTTAGTGTGGTGTTACATAATGGCAAAACGAACAGAAAAACGTGGAAACAACTTAAATGTCCAATAACAGGGAAGTGGCTAAATAAATTATGGTGCCTCCATTTGGTTGAACATTAAGTAGTCATTAAAAATTATGTTTTCGCGGGCTGGCCCCGTGGCCAAGTGGTTAAGTTCGCGCGCTCCGCTGCAGGCGGCCCAGAGTTTCGTCGGTTCGAATCCTGGGCGCGGACATGGCACTGCTCGTCAGACCACGCTGAGGCAGCGTCCCACATGCCACAACTAGAGGAACCCACAACGAAGAATACACAACTATGTACTGGGGGGCTTTGGGGAGAAAAAGGAAAAAATAAAAAAATCTTTAAAAAAAAAAAATTATGTTTTCGGAGAGTATTTACTGTTGTGGGAAAATGCTCAACACACTCGACATGCCACTAAGCGATTAAAAAAGGGAAGAAGCAAATTTTCATTCTCCTCCTTTCCGTAATGCCTTGATTCACAGAGAAATCAATGACACTGAGGGGGCCTGCGGAGATCAACAGACACCCCAAAGGGTCCCACAGGCCACAAGCTCCCCACGTGTAGAGCTTGGGAGAGGCAGGGGCTCTAGGGTACATACACAATGACACCATTCTTTCCTAAACAATCATCCAGGGCTTCTGGCTTTAAACTCACGGCGAGACCAAATCCTAAACAGAATATTCCCAGACTCATCCCCAAAGAAACCAAAGAGGCTTCAAAACCCTGTTCTCCTCAAACCCGATTCTTTTCGTTGCTTGGAGGTTGGAACCACAGGCTGATGCTTTGGGGGTATGCTTGCATTCCTAATCCTCTTATGTGCTGGAAAACTCCTGTCTCATCCAAACCCAGACTGAAGCTGGGGGTGGGTGGGTGGGGACCTGCCTGAGTGGGAGTCTTTGGGAGGCTTCTTGTTTTCCCATCGCAGGTACACCGGCCGTTAGCAAGTGTCACCCAGCATCTGCCGATCACTCATAGGAGCATGTAAATCCCCTTTTGCGCCCCAGCCTCCTTCTGCCCACATCTGTCTGCGATTTGCGCAGCACATGCTGTGGCTGGGGAGGAAGCATCTTATTATGACTCTAGGATGCCAGGCAGCATGCTCGGGGCGGCTGAAGGGGCCCACTTCTCGGCTTTTCAGGAACACTGCCACCTTGAGCTTGGATGAGCTCGGGGGGTCTAAGGCCTGGGCCACCCTAATGGGAACCAGGAGACCAACATCTCCAAGCAGATCCCAGGAGGTCTGCCAAGCCCCCTCTCATCTGATAATCACTAAGGATTTGCACTAATGGTCTGAGGCACTGGGCCAAGCACTTCACATCTCATTTAATCCTCAGGACAACCCTCTGAAACAGCTACTATCATCAGACCCAATTATAAGAAAAACAAGTATTGTTACCGTTACCCTCAGCCAGGGAACTATGGCTGGACAGCGGGAACTATGGTTCAGAGAGGTTAAGGAATTTGCCTAAGGTCACACAGCTAGTAAGTGGTAGAGCTGGGATTCAAGTCCAGATCTGACTCCAGAGTCTGCTGTCCCCATTACTGAGCTACGATGGCCTCCAGTCTCTCTCTTCCAGGTTGACTTCATCCCAGAGGCAAGATGAGGTGTGCTGGCACAGTAGAAAAAGTTTCCGACTCTGGTGCTAGTTAGCTCTGTAACCTTGGCCAAATTACTTAACCTCTCTGAATCTCCCTCAGGTGTCTTCATCTGCGAAAGGGGGTAGTACCTCCTAACAGGATTGGGGTGAATGGCAGATCACGTGCTTACAACAGTGCTGACACAGCTGGTGCTCCACACAGCTCTCCTTTACTGGATACGGACAAGTCCTTGTCAATGAGGTTATCGTTCCCACAAAGGAGCCGCCTCATCAGGCGGATCTCCGGGTCCCTGGGAAGACCTCTGGTGATGACGAGACATCTTAGAGCACAGTTAGGACGTCCCCTCATTGAGTTCACCATCACTGTCCCTCGCTCGGATCGGGAAACAGAGGTTTGGAGCGGGAGGGCTGCGGTGCCACGAGCTGGGGCTCTGCTCACGCCCCTGCCCAGTCCTTCAGGCGCAGGAACGGCTGAGCGAGGATTCTCCCTTCACAGGTCCAGACGGGCAAATACAGGGAGAATTCTTTCCCTGGCTAAGGGCACGGGACGCAGGTCCCAGAATAAGTCCCAGCACAGGTGGCTGAGATGGCGTTTGGCTGCCTCCCGAGACAGTCCCCACTCTCCGCGGGACCATAAAGCTCAGCGAGACCAAAGGGCATCCGCGTGCACAGCCGGGCCCAGCGGCACTCCCTCTTGGGAGGTTCCTGGGACCCGGGTCTCTGTCCTGAGAAGGGGAAGGGATGTCACAGGCCCTGGGAAGCTGGGAGTGGAGGGCGGCTAGCACAGATCTGCCTAGATGCCGGATGATTGCAGAGAGAGAAAGCGGGCGCACTCGGCACGACTTCCCAACCACGCCATGTCGGCTGGATCCTAACACACAGCACCTGCCCACAGCGACCCGAAGAGACCCCCAGAAACTGCTGGAGTGGCCCCCCGGAGACAAAACCCCAGCAGAAAAGGTGCCCCTGCCTTTGAGAGTAACACGCATTGCCGAGAAGAACCCCTAATGGTGCCGAGGGCTCGCCTGCAGCGACGTTTCCCCAGCTTCCTGGGGGACGGTGGCGGGTGCTGGCCTGCTCAGCCGTATGCTCACGCCACACCTCCGGTCAGGGAAAGGCTCTGCTGGAGCCCACTAACTGGCCACAAAACCCACTCCCCCTCCCCGTCCGTGAGACCTGGAGCTTGACATGGCCCCAGCACGGCCCACTCTGCCCAAGGGGATCCCTGGCCCGGGTTTCGGCTCTTTGCCGGGTCTCTCTGGGATGAGGGGAGCAGAGACACCTGCCAGCCGGCAGTGCTCCCTGAGTTGAGCACAGGAAAGAAACATTGGGTTCTCCGGGCCACTCCGTTTGGGAGCTTCTTTGAAGAGCAACCTGAAATCCAAGCCATACACCTGCTTTGGCTTCAAAACGAAGTTTCTAAAGAGTATTTATCGTCCTAGTAGACGGTAAGTGGAAGCAGGCTGCCAAGTTTTATTGCCATTTTTCCCCAGGCGAATCAAAGACACAAGGGGCAGCAGACCCTAAAGGCCATTTTCTCCCCTGGTATTCCTCCAGTTCTCCAGTCCCTGTTAGGGGCTGGCTGCCAACCCTTCTCCCAAGCCCCACCGAGTGTGGCAGGAGGGCCCTAGAGAGGGGGTATGTCCGTGGCTGGAGCCCCAGGCCAGCTGTCAGGAGAGCAGGCTGCACACGTGGGCCCACTGGTTTCCTCGCTTCCTAAAGTGGTTTGTGGCCACAGACATGTTGGCCGCATGGTGGTTCCGGGTCCGTGGCCCATCTTGGGAAGAGACCCCCTGGGCCCTGACACCACGTTCTCTCCCAGCCCCTGCCCGCCCGGGGCTGGACGCTGCCCTTCTCCTCTGGATCAATATGAGAAGAGTAAGCGGGAGTGAAGTGGGTCGGACGTGTCCTGAATCCAGCACGTCCACGCTGTCCCGGGAGGGGAGGCGCCAAAGGACCCCGAGTCATTTGGGACTGGGAGGGCGGAGACCCAGGTGCTGAGTCAGCACCCTGGACCAGCAAAGATGCCCACCTGCTGTTCACACCTTGGAGGGAGGTTCCCCACTACCAGTCATGACGGAGAACACGTGGTGGCCGCACGGGAGGAGGGCATGACACCTATACTCAGCCCTGGGAGACGCAAAATTGCTTCCAAAGAAGGGACCGGGTAGCTTCAGTAGGGGTCTTGGCCCTGGGAGAGCCTCGTGTCCACGCCACTCCCCTGCAGAGGCAGGGTTGTGGCTCCACACCCGCCCAGCGCCCCAGGCCAGGGAGGCAAGGCACCGCCGCCTGCTCACTCACCCTGCAAGGCTTCTTTGGCTCTGGCTAGCTCCTGCTCCTTCTGGGCCAGCTGCACCCTGAGCTCGGTGGCCGAGAGGACCTCAGAGGACTTGCCGCCCTGCGACTCCTCCAGGTCCTTGGTCAGCATCTCCTTCATCTGCCGGAGAAGGTGGACTTCCTCCTGGAGCCGAGACACTTCCTCCCGCAGGAGCACTAGGGGAGAAGGGCACATGGTTAGCGGATGGGGACGCTGGCTTGGGCTCGCTCACATTTGCGGGGGACTCTTTGAAGGTGCCCCAGCTTCTCCTGTGTGCTCTGCACTCAGGGCCTTTCAGGAAGAAAACCCCCCAAAGCCACGACATTATTCCAAAGAACCCTGGCCTGCAGACCCCCCTCCCATCCTCTAGAGGTCTGTGGCTGCTGTCGCTGCTCCCAGAGTGTCCACTCCAACAGCCAATGGGCTCCCTCCCCAAAAAGGCGGGAAGAAGCGGGAGAAAGCAGAGCTGGCGGGAGCGGCGTTCCAGCCACGAGCAGCCGCACGCAGGGCGCTCCAAGGGCATCGCATCACTTCACCCTCCGAGCCTCCTGGGCAGACACCGTCCACCCCGTGTGCAGATGAGGAAGCCGGGGCTCGGAGAGATGAAGCGGCTCCACGAGGTCCTAACGTTCGTGGGCGGCAGAGCTGGGATTTGAACCCAGACCTGGCCGACCCAGAGCCTGAGCAAGGAGTCGGACGGACTCTCGCGAAACGGCCCTAAAAAGGCGCTCTCCACGTGTCATGACACACACGGCCCTCGGGCAGAGACGGGACTCGGGCACTCACTGCTGATGTGAAGGAGGACAGAGCTAATGGGCAGTCACAAGGGCGACCCTAGGGGCAGAGGCTTCAGGGGCACTGAAACCCAACCAAGACACACGGGTACCTGGGATGAGGCCCAGGAGAGGGCAGCGGCCCTCAGGCCCTGGGGCACCTGGGGTGGAACCCAGAAGGTGAACCTGGTCACAGAGGACCCATCCGCCAGCGCAGGCCTGCAGGCCGACCAGCACGCCGCCAGGCCCCGGTCTGCCCACCTGGGGGTGGTGAGTAGCGGCCGCACTCAGCTGCCTGCACCTCTGCGGCTACAAGAACCTGCAGGACAGCGCCCACCTGTCCGGTATGCTCCCCTCCACGACTGAAGGAGACTCTGAAATATTCGTGCAAGCGGCCTGCTGGGGGCTGGCCTCCGCCTCCATCACTAAGCTCATGCATCACTCCCTCCCGCCACCCAGGGGCTCTCCCTACAACAGGCCGGGCACTTCCCAGCTTCAGGGCCTCCACCTGGAACACCCTTTCCCCGTGCATCCTCACTGTGACACGCCCCGCCACCCCTCAGAGGGGCCTCCTCTCCCCGTCCGTCCCGTCTCACACGCTACCAGGTTGTGGTGCAGTCCTCTCTTGAGGGGCACACACAGCTTTCAGTCACTGGGGATCGGGGCCGGCTCCCTCACTGACTAGGTGTGAGGTCCTGAGCAAGTCCCTTCCCCTCTGAGCCTCAGACGCCCCATCTGTAAAATGGGTCCAAACCTCCTCATGTTGTGAGGTCCCAACGAGACGCAGGAGGGAGGCCTCCTCGCAGGCGCCTGGTCCACAGGAGGCGCTCAGTGTACACAGGAGGCGCTCAATACTGGGCAGGTGGTGGCTGTCCTTTCTCTAGGCGCCTCACCCTCTGTCAGTGCCCTGCATGCCCCAAATGCTACCACCTGCACACCTCGGTGATCCGGGGCCTCGAGGCCGAGCCAGACCCGGGGGGCAGGGAGCAGGCTGCTGGGGAGCCGAGGAGAGGGCTCGAGGCCGGGCTGTTCCTCCCCCACCAGAGCCCTTGGGACACCATGGCATCGACTCCAGCCCCTGTTCCCTCGTCCACTGGGTCCAGCCACACCCGTGCGAGGGGAGGCCTCCCTGCCTCCAGCTCGTCCTCAACCCGAGTCCAGTCTCCCCACAGGAGCCTGTGGGCCCTTTGAAACACAGAGCACATCACCTGACTCCCACACTGGAACCCTTCCTGGCTGCCCACCCCAGTGGCCTCATCGGCCCCTCTGACACCTCCCTCAGGCCACAGGGGACGGGGGGTCCAATGTGACAGCACTGCGGACAAGCTGAACAAATCCCTCATTAACGTGGGAGGCCCACTTGTTTCCGGTCTGCGTGCCCAGTGGGCGCAGCTCCCGGAGAGCAGGCCTGGGCATCCTGCTCCATCTTGTTCACGGTGGGCCCCCAAGGGCCTGGAACAGCACATGATGGCACATCACAGTTGAATGACCCGCTTCCCCCATCCATCCACCCAACAAGAGCTTACGGGCACCTGCCCCATGCCAGACGCCACTGCAGGTGCTGGGGACTCGGGGCAAACGTCACAGACAGTTCCCGCCCTCAGCTGGCACTCCCAGGTCCCACACCTGGGGGCATGGGGGCAGCCGGTCTGCAAGGGAGCACCTGGCTGCTCCAACACGGATAGACTCCAGGGCAGGCTGGGAACTGTCCAAGCTTCTCAGCAAAACTGCCGAGCAGGAGGTTTACTTTGTGCCCCCTCCCACCCCAGGCAAACATCTGCGGGCTGCCCACGCTGCAGGCTCAGCGCTGGGAGGCCAGAAAGGCGCAGGGAACACCCTTGGCCTCGGGGAGCCTCCAGTGAGGAGCAGCAGCACACAAGTAAGCCTGACTCACAGGAGAGGTTGCCTCTGCTCTGCTCGGGGCACTGGGACATTTGAGACGGTCCTGGAAGACGGGGTGCGGGGGGTGGGCAGAGAGCAGAAGGGATGGCACAAGCAAAGACAAGGAAGCTGGGAAGCCAGAGGTCCCTGGGTGATCAGTGAATGGGTATGAGGTGAGCAAGAGCAGGAGGAAGGCTGGGGAGGCACAGTGGGGTCAGATTATAAAAGGTCTGAACCCTGGCTACCCCTCCATGCCCCCAGCCCTGGCTTGTCCTCTCCAGCAGTACTCAAAACTCTGGAATTTTCATCCTTGCTCCCTGCCCTAGACTAAACATTTGTGTCTCCACCCAATTCATATGTTGAAACCTAACCCCCAATGTGATGGTATCTGGAGGTGGGGCCTGTGGGAGGTGATGAGGTCAGGAAGGCGGAGCCCTCACGAAGGAGGTTAGCGCCCTTATGAAGGAGACCCCAGAGAGCTCCCTTGCCCCTCCACCATGTGAGAACACAGGACAAGACAGCCGTCTATGAAACAGGAAGGGGGTCCTCGCCAGACGCAAACCGGCCAGAGCCTGGATCTTGGACTTTCCAGCCTCCAGAACCACGAGATACAAATTTCTCTTGTTTATAAGCCACCTGCTCTACGGAATTTTTGTAACAGCGGCCCAGACAGACTGAAGTACCCTCCTTAACCAACTTGCCCCATTTGCCCATCCTGCCAGGACCTGTTCCCACTCAACTGTCACCAAAAGTCGATTTCACACTAAGGTGTGAGTGACTGCTAACATATCTCCATATATATGTATTTTTTTAATTACTGAATTATAATTATATATATTTTATAGATATATGTATACTATATCTACAAAGTTATGTTTGACAAACATTATCCTATCAGTTTCAGGCATACATTCCCATTTATATTTATCTTACCACGCAGTAGAAAAGACAGGTTTGTTTTTGTTTGATTTTTTTTGGGGGAGTGACTGCTGGGCTTCCTCAAACTGCCCTGAGGGCCACCGAGGTTGTTTACTTTGTCTATGCAGACGGCAGAGGATTCCACGAGACCTGGATTCAAATCCAGTCCTGGTCAGGCCTTGTTGTGACCTTGAGCAAACCCCATCATTTCTCTGGGTCTCAGCTGTCACGTAAGCGGACAATGCCACCCATTTAGGGTTGCTCGATTTAGCAAAACAAACAACCCCCCACCCCGAGATGCACAGTTAAATTTGAATTTCAGATAAACAACAAATGACTTTTAGCATAAGTATATCCTAAATATCACATGGGACATACTTACACTAAAAATTTATGTTGCGTATCTGAAATGCAAATTTAATAGGGTGGGCTGTGTTCTATGCAGTGACCCTGCTCCCATGCCACGGGGATCCTGGCACGATGAAAGGGGGCAGTCATGAGAGAGGGCTCTGCCAGGGCCCCTGAAAGGAGGGTGGGGACGGCAGGGGAGAGTCCTGGCCTCCTCTGCACCCCGTCTTGGGCCAGCGCCCTCCTCCCAGGCTAACCATAAGGCAAAGGTGGATTTTCCGGGCAGGGCAGCTGACGTAGGCCCCGCCCCTCGAGTCAGGCCGGGAACAAGCAAAAGGGCGGGCCAGCAGGTGCAGCAACCTGCAGGAGCCAAGTCTCAGGAGGCCAGGCTGGAAAAACAATTCCACGGAAAGAGAGCAGCTTGTCCCAGTCACTCATTGCGCTGCCCCGGGGTGGAGGGGTGCAAGCCCAGATCACGTGCACCCTGAGCCCCCAGGGGCAGAGTGCGGGACAGCCCTGGAAGTGCCATCACAGAGCCTCCCAGGACTGCAGGGCACTCACGGCTCTGGGACCGTGGCAGGCACTGCCCCTCCCCGGGCCTCAGCTGCCTCACCTGTCAAATGGGGGTGAAGAGAATGAGACACAGGCGCGATGCACTTTAAGGGCTCAGCACACTGGGCTCCACCTATGTGCCATCACACCCACAACTCCTTCCCTGGGAGCGGCGACCACATTCCTCAGAAACAACGAAGACGCTGGAGTTAGAAGACTTGGGTGTCTGGCGCAGAGCGGTTGCTACCTTGCTGTGTGATCCTGGGCAAGTCACTGTCCGTCTCTGGGCCTTCATAATATCAGTGACCTTAGAGGGGCCCCCCTCTCTATGAATCTAGATGAACACTATCGATCATCATTTCTCCCCTTGGTGGGAACAGCGTTCCTTGCTCTAGTCTGCCCTGCTCAGTCAGGCAGCCACTAGTCCCACGTGGCTATCAAGGTGCAAATTAATTAAAATGAACAGCTCAGTTCCTCAGCTGCAGTTGCCACGTTTCCAGGGCGCAGAGACCACGCCCATCGCTGCACGTGCTGGTCTAGAGCACAGGAGACGGAGGAAGAAAGGGGTCCTGGTTAAGCAGCGGGAGCAGCGCAGGCCCACAGACACGCCGGCGGGAGAGCCGCTGAGGGAGGACGGTTCTGGAAACCATCCGGCCCCGGCCCAAGGACAGAAAAGGAATATTCAATTGTGTACCTTTCTGCCAGCACTGGGCAACCACAGTGCCTCAGACCCAGGGGCAGGGGGCGGGATGTGGCAAAGGGCTGGTGCCAAACATGCCGCACACGCAGCAGCGCTCTCTGCCCATGGCAGCCGGAAGGAAGCGTTGCTGCGTTGCCAGGGAGACGGCGGCTCTCCTGCCCCAGGGAAGCTGCCGTTACCAATGGTGCCGCCCTGGGGGCAGCCTTACCTATAGGCAGGCAGGACGTGCAGGGGAAGCCCCCAGGGGCCTCTTCCCAAGGGCGAGGGGGTGTGGCATACCCACGGAGGTGGCGAAGGGCACTGGGGTAGACCTTGCCCTTCTCTAGCAGATCTTTTGTTTTGGAGAGCAGTGAGTACCGGGCATTTAAAATATGCCATTTCCCAGTCTCCCTCGCAGCTAGGGCTGTCCCTGTGACCCAGTTGTGGCTGGTGAGGTGTAGGAAACGGTCCCTGGGGAGGACTGTCCTTTAAGAAAAGGGCTTTGTTCCTTCCCTGCCTTCTTGCCTGGAAAGTGGACTTGTGGCTGGAGCTGCAGCAGCCACCTTGTAACAAGGAGGCATGCCTGTACAAGGGAAAAACACACCAAGCAAGGAGAACAGAGCCTGGGGCCTGAACAGAACGGCTCAGCCCTGTATCAGCACCAAGACCTGGAGCTGCACCGGCTGGGCAGGGCTGCCTGGCACAGAAGAGCCCTTGCCTTCTGATTTACCAGCTCACCAGAACCAAACTACCACAGCCTGCACTACAGGCTCAGACTGAGTTCAGAGGGATAAGGGCCAGCAGCCCTGCGGGTCTGTCCCGTGGCTGGCTCAGTGAGTGGGAGTGGGGGGAGGAGGAGGAAGAGGAGGAGGAGGAGGAGGAGGAGGAGGAGGAGGAGGAGGGGGAGGAGGGAGAGGAGGAGGAGGAGGAGGAGACAGTGGGGGATCAACACAGTGCAGAAGGGAGGCGACTGCCCCTGGCCCTGGGGAAGAGCCCCCGGTTTGTGACAAGCCTTTTCCAGGCTTCATTTCTGTGAGCTCACAGGGTTGGGGCGGGAGAGGAAGAAGAGAAGGGACGAAACTTTCCGTGACTGTCGGGCTCCACCCAAGAAGCGCCCATGGGAGCCAGAGACGCTAAGGTCTCCCAGCGACCTGTGGGTTTCTCCGTCCAGCCGTCCCGAGCCAAAGTCTACAGAACAGTAACGTTATAATTCCTGGGCATCGCAAGGACAACTGCCCCTTTACCCACACTTGCTGGGCACGCAGTGTGCGCTCCAGCCTCTGCGGTAAGCATTTTACACGCCTTAACCAGTTTAACCCTCACGGGAACCCCATGAAGCAGGTCCTATTATCACCACCCCCGTTTTACAGAGGGGAAGTCGAGGCACAGGAGTCAGGTGACTTGACCAAGGTCACAGAGGAAAGAGCAGAGCCAGGGTTTGAACCGGGCGGTCTTGATCCGGGTGCCCACGGCCTTAACTCCTGGCCTGTACGACCCTGCAGGAGGAGGGGGCCACAAAGCGTGGCGGTGACACCGAGGAGCGCAGGGTCCCCGCAGGCTCCTTGTGGATGGCAGGGGATGGCGGTGGGGGCTGGCGTGCCCCCAGAGGGTGCGAGCTTGCTCTCGTTTCCCGTGTGGAGCTGGGTCACAGTGAAGCCTTCCACCAGGGCACAGGCCCCTGCAGCTTCTGGGGAAGGACGTGGCCGTGGAGCCAGCCAGTCTGTTCCACCAGGGCAGGTGCTCTGTTCCATTCACACCTGACACCCAGTGCCGGGCGCTTGGCAGGCATGCAAGAACAGTGCCAACTGCGACGCCAGGGCAGAGAGGACAGGTGTGTCTGAGGTCACCCAGCCTGGGCTCAGGCCTGGCTCCCCCGCTTCCCAGCTATAGGACATTTGGACAAGTGCCCTCTGAGTTTATCTGAAAATGGAGCCAAGATCAGTCTCCCAGGCCCGTAGTAAAAATTAAACAAAGCAATCATCTAAGTGGAAACATTCCGGAAGATTCTAGATAAAGGTCAAATGCAGCCCATCATAATCATTATTACAGAAAAGGGCAAACCTCCCTCATGTTCCGAGGCAAGGCCACGGCCTCCATAACCACAGAGCCCTGACCCGTGGGCCTCCCAGCCGGGAGGGGTGGAATAAATGGCAGAGAAGGCTGAGTTCCCTGGCCTGGGGAGTGAGGGAAGGTGGAGGACCCTGGGGACTCTGCGTGGAGGCCAGGCCCTGTGAGGTCAGAGATCCAGGCCAGAAGTGACTGTCCCGGGCTGCCCATCATGGGTGGTCACCTTGATAAACAGCCAAGCATAGCACACATCTGTCAAAACTCACCGAGCTCAAAGTCGGTGAAGACCTGTGCATTTCACCATACGTAGATTACACTCAAGAAAAAAATATAAATACAGCCGTAACATATTTCAGGTTTTCCATTAAAAACTCACTTTTATAGGCCCCTCCCCCCAAATCCAGGTACAGAGCCCATTGACCCCTCCAACAGGCCTCAGGGGAAGGGGAGCTGGGTCCAACCCCAAAGCCAGTCTGGACGGCCTTGTGGACGACCTCCCATCCCAACGCGGGCCTGCCTGCCCAGGAAACAACAGTGTCCACTTGAGCTACACACACCCCGTGGGAGAGAAACTGAACGGCCAGAGGACCGTCCCACACCGGCTCCAGGCAAACTGAGGTCACTTGCAGATGGCACAATGCTCTGCTGAACCACACCATCCCGTCCAACCCCCTTTCTCACAGAGACCATGGTTGATGGCACTGCCATTGGCGCTGGATGCCACACAGCGGGTGACAGGCTTCAGCTCCCTGGATGCTCATGGCACCCATGCAGGGCTGTGGTCAGAGACACTGGGGACTGTGGGGCAAGCCCAGATCTGCAGGGCTCTGGAGCCACCCGCCATGGTGCGGTCCAGCAGTGCCGGGCAGGCTGCGAATGCTCAGAAGATGCTGCTGCTGCCGGGACGGCTACTCTTAGTGTTATTACTGGGTTTGGGCCAAGCCTGCCCCGCCAGGCAGGCCAAGGCCTCATGCCCCCTCTTGGGCCCACAGCTGCACAGGGAGCCTTCAAGCTCCCTTGGGATAGTTACGCCGTTGGCATCCTTTCCCCAGCCCGGAAGGCCTGAGGTTGCAGAACCTCAGCCTCATGGCTAAGCCGACCCAACATCCCAGCAGGGCTGTGGGCGCTGGATTCGGACAGCCCAGGGCCGCGGGAGCACAGCAGCAATGCGTTCCTTGGTTCAGCCCCAGCCCCGAAGGGTCCTCACGGCTCTGTCAATGACCAGAGCTGCCCCAGGGGAAGACATCCAGGCTGGTCTTCAACCTAACAGCTTGCCTGTGGAGACAGAAATCTGGGAACTGGAGCCGGGAAGAGCGGCCTTGGGGGTGTGCCTCTGCTGGCCACCCTGGGCCTCGGGACAGGCAAGGCGAGCCTTGGCATCACATCCTTCTGCTTGGTCGGCCCCTCAGGCCCAGCCTGGGGGCCCGCTCCGGCCTGGTCCCTGCGTGAGGAGCCGGACACAGCCCTCTTGGACCATCTCTGTCCCCGTTCACCATGCAGTCTCTCCGGTCCCTGCCCCAGTCCCCACTACACGTGGAGACAGACCCACTAGGCCAGAACAGGCCCGGCAGCAGGCAGACAAGAGCTGGGACTGGGGTTTGCTGGAGATTTCCGTGGTGTCTGGGCCTTTGTCACATGATCCTGACACCGTGTTGGGGGCACCCAGGATGTCATACAGCACTCACCAAACACCAGGAGATTCTCAAAGAACACCCAGCCACTCAACAGTATTCCCCCGAAGGCCGCTCCCCAGTAACTACCAAGGCCCACCTGGGAATTCTCACAACAGGGCATGGGCATGGGGGCGGGCATCGCAGGTACCCAGGTGACACAGCTTGGTCTTTTTCTCACATTTCACAGTAATTGTTTTTCCTTGAGACGCAGTCTAATCCGTCTTTCCTGCAGAGGCTGTGCCAGTGCAGCTGGGCCCTTGAACATACCTTTTAGCCAGCCCTGCCGTGGGCTCGATGGCCTGGCTAATCCTCTTCCACCATCTTGCTCCTGGGGCCCCCGGTTCCCACGAGAGAACCAGGGGTGGGTGCTGCCCACCCAGCTCCATCCCCCGAAAATCTGGTTCTCTCCAGGGACAGGGGTCTGCATCCTTTCATCACCCCTCACCCAGCACTGACTGAGCGACGATCGTGTGCCAGGCACCAGCAATGGAGACAGGACCCCCGCCCTGGAAGCACGCCAGTCAGAGGCTCAAAAGCAGAGACGCCCCGGGGATGTGGAGGAATCGCAAACCTCCAGCACGCAGTTCCCCAATTCTCAAGGAGAACTAAACCCGAGGATGGGGGCTGCAGAAGGTGGTCCCTGTGGGCGGCTCGGCCTCATCCCTACGATATGCCAGTCGGTCACGCAAGGTCCTCGCTTCCAGGCCGGCCCAGCGGTTAAGTTCGCACGTTCCGCTTCAGCGGCCCGGGGTTCGCCAGTTTGGATCCCAGTGTGGACATGGCACCGCTTGTCAAGCCATGCTGTGGCAGGCATCTCACATATAAAAGAGAGGAAGATGGGCACGGATGTTAGCTCAGGGCCAGTCTTCCTCAGCAAAAAGAGGAGGATTGGCAGATGTTAGCTCAGGGCTAATCTTCCTCAAAAAAAAAAAAAAGGTCCTTGCTTCCTGTGTCCCCCGCACTGCGAGCCAAGAAAGGACATCCTCAGGCAGGCTTTCTAAGCCCGTGGCTTGATGCTGCCACAAGACTGACAGCCAGGAGGAACCCTGCGGTCCTCCACGGTCTGCAGAAATCACTCAGCAGATGATTCTAGCTCCAGGAGAAAGGTGAACCTCCAACTGTGCCATCTGGCTGGGGTGGGGGAGGCAGGCCGTCGCATGGCAGCTGAGTCCTTGATGGGCAGTGGCAGCAATGACTGCCCAGTCCCAAAGTCCCGAGCCCAGACCTGCCTGGTGGCCTGGAGGAGCCCACTCCCACCTGCTTGCTGAGCAAGAGGGACGGGCGACGAAGGGGCTGGCCACTGCCTCCTCCGGTCCTCGCTGAACACATTCTCCACTGGGGATTAGAAGCCATGAGCTGGGGCCAGTTCATTGCGTCGGGTGGGCTGACGGCGCTGTCCTGGGATGCCCTCTCGGTACGATGAGGAATCTCAGCACACGCATCAAGCTGAGCCTCAAAGCCACTACTTCCTCTGGGATGCTGGCTCATCCTATCTTTTCAAAGTTTCTCACATCCCCCCTTGATTGGGATCTTTCTGCCCCCCTGACAGCTATGCCTCTCACCTTTTTGAGAAAGCTCCTCCACTTCCCTTTGGGGAG